CGATATTTTATTGCGCAAGTTCATTTGAGTCCAGTTGAGGGACAAACGTTGGGGTATCACAAGCAACGTGTAGTGTACTGTACTACTCCCCTTGTCTTTACTTTCACTTGCAATCTCAAGCCAAATAGAACCTGACAGCATCGAGTTACCATCAACGTGTGCGCCCTCACCTCCTCTGTTTTAGCAAAGATGCGATTTCGCGCAATGCACTCATTTGTTCGGTATGCTGCTGGCGCCTTTCCTCGCGGTCCTGAGCCAACGATAGACGCATCTGCTCGAAGAACTCGCGCGCCGTCTGCGAGTCTATCATCCCCATAGGCTGCTCTTGCATCGTTCGCTGGCGCTTTGGTGTGCCTTGGTCCCGGACTTGCTGGGAAGAGTAAAAGTTGGTGGTCTGCGCGCGTTGTGTCGAAGTGATTGGAGCTGACCCGCTAACCTGTTGCTGCTGCTGCTGCTGTAAAATGCTGTTGCCAGTACTAGACGACGTGATGGTTACAACAGCTGGGGCAATATCGAGAAGGCGCTTGGCGCCACATTCACATGTAATATGACCTGAATGGTTGTTGCCATTCTGATTTGTGGCCCCTTTGTTATGTGAAGACATGCCGTTAATAATCGTCGACGTGAAGTTTGCATTTTGCTGGCTGCCTTCCGGTTCCGTGGAGAACACAGAAGATGACGCAGGCTCAATTGGAGTATCGGATGGAGACACTTGGTTCATTCTCGCCATGAGCATGTCGATCTCGTTGTACACATCTGGGGCCAGATTTGGAACACGGATTTTGTTCGCAGCACGAACAGCTCGTCGCTGGGGTTTAGTAAGATCAAACCATGGGATTTTCGGGTCTCCAGTGGTTAAGCGTTTTGTCTCGTAGTTCTTCATGAAGCGATACATCTCTCTCATCGAGTGCATCTTGTCGTCGACAGCCTTCCTGGAACGGTTCGACCCTCCCACTGCCGCCATGAATGCGTTGTACACATTCAAACTCAGCGTAGCTCCTTTCAAAGCGGGGTTCTCCTTATGCACATTGTTCCACACCCTCGCCAGCTGCAGTGTCACATCATAACTCCAATTGCGCTTCACGTCCAGGATCTCCTGTGTATTTTCTTGTGGTTCCTCACTGGGCGCAGTACCAGTTACTACCATCGGTATCACCGCACGGTTGTCTCCTGTAATCGAAGTCCCCTGAGTTGTATTACTGCTCGTTGCTGTCAATCCATTGTTCTCCATTGCAGTTCTCCTAGCAGCCACAGCACTGGGACTCAACACGCTGTCGAACACGTTATACACCTCAAGAGAGATGTTGGGGATGCGCACACGATGTAACGTGCGGACCACGCGCCGCTCCTCTTTGGTGAGCTCAAACCAGGACGGGGAAGGTGCCTTGTCGGGACCTCCCTGCTTGAACTGATCCTTCACCTGAGCGATAAACTGGTACATCTGCTTCATGGAGTACAGCTTGTCATCGACAGCCTTGCGACTACGCTGCGAGCAGTCTACCGTCTGCTTAAAAATATCGTACACAGCCTGCATGCGTTGTACACGGCTCCAGTCAGGGTGCGCCAGGAACACGCGGCGCCAGATCTTCACTAGCTCCAGCAGCACGTCCGGGCTCCAGTTGCGCCCGCTGTCAGTTAATAGGTCATCTCCATCTGCCTCCACGTCCTGCGGCGGGCTCAACTCCGTATTGCTCGCTGGTGGAAGCGGGGAGCGCTGGACTGGAGTTGTCTCTTCCATCTCCAATTGCGCAATGAATGTGCAATGTATTGCGTGCTCTTTTTAACCAATGATATATTATAACTTCACTAATTTTAACCAGTCATATGCGTAATACCAATTAACTCGGTTTTGTAAGTCTTTCTTCAATGACAGTAATT